GAGAACAGAAGTGCAATGTGATGGGAGAAGCATAGCAATATCTGCTCCTTTATGAATTGTTTGAGAAACATAGACTATTTTTTTCAGTGTATATCCACTCATATTTTGTGTATTTTTGATGTACACTGTTCTCCAAGTTCAGAACTTTTGGGAAAAAAATGTAAAGCATTTATGATCTCTTGAAATGAATCAGAGATTAACTTATTTAAGGGGGATGTACATATATTCTCTGAAACTAGGATGCATGCAGTTGTGTTGGAAGTGTCCTTGGTGCCTTGTGTGATGTAGACGATGTGACAGGGTCTGCATGTAAATGGGCTGCCTTACTATGGAAAAAAAAATTGCTCCCTGGGTTTAGTATGGCTGTATATTTCTGCCTATTAATATTTGGAATTTTTTTTAGAAAGTATATTTTTGTATGCTCTGTTTTGTGACTTAAAGTGTTACCTTTGTAGTCAAATTTCAGATAAGAATGTACATAATGTTACTGGAGCTGATTTGTTTGGTTATTAGCTCTTAATAGTTGTGGAAAAATACATGATCTATCTAACGTAAAACCACTAACTGAAGTTCAGATAATGGATGGTTTATGACTATAGTGTAAATAAATACTTTTCAACAATATTTTTGCTGCAGAAATCATTTCTGAAATACTTGATGGGAATTAAATAGTCAGCCAACACTTGTGGGACTATTAAAAAACAGCACTAAGTACTAGTGGGTTAAAGTGCTTTGACCAAGCCAAGACCTCCAAGTTTTCTGTGCTAGCCTGTGGACACCACCCCTCTCACTCCAAAGCAATCTCCATTCATAATCAAACAGTAGCGTTCTGGGGATTTCCCCCATGCATTAGTGTAAAAGTGGGGAGGCGTTGTTTTGACTCATTGTTCCGTCCTCTGTAACAGCCTATAGCTTCTCTCTGCTCCTGAGTGGGCTCCGGAAAATAAATACTTACAAACAAGTGCCCACTCGGAGACTACACATTTGCAACTGCTTTCAGAACCCTGACCAGGGCCTGGAACTCAGACGAGATGTGGCTTTGTGGAAAGTGTGGTGGCGTGGTCAAGCTGGAAATGACTTTCAGGTTCCAGGATTAGTCTCATGACCACAGAAAACTTTTTTGAAAAGCGCTATCATCTCTTCAGATCAAAAATGCTCTCAGACGTTGCTGATGACAGCATTAATGGGTTGCCAAAGGAATTACCCCAGGACTCATTTCTCTCCAATCTTCGCTTAATTGATTACCCCTATTTGGAAGGATCATTAATCTGCTACAGGTTTGGTGGGTCTAGAAGTGACTTATCAAAATACCCAGCTCATTACATAAGATAGGTGTCCCTCAAGAAATCTCCAAGATTTCAACACAGTATTCCTGGTGTGTGTGTGTGTGTGTGTGTGTGTAGCTCCAAAAAAGACAATCTAGATTAAATAGGCAAATATGGTCCTCCATGATACTGGGTAATGGTTTGCAAAGAATACACTATAGTGTTCATTTTATTGCAAGACTTTTGTAATGATTTTAAAACATACATCACCCAAAAAAGTTAATTGATCTACCTCTCATACAAAACAAACAAAATTTTGTAAAGTTACAACCTTTACTCTAAAATAGACCTAAATATTATTCAAGTTCACCCACTTCTAGATCATTACACAACTGTAACATGTTGGAGCATCCACTGTTTAGCTACAGTATCTAAAATCCCTTCATCTGTTTGTCCTTCACCACTGTTAAGACTCTCAGATTTGGCTGATAATTACAGCCTGTATTTCAGAATAGCAGACGGTCACAGCTACTCCTGGAAATCGCCTTTTGCCCCTACTAGCACTAGAATTTGAGATCCAGTTTGTGGAGGTAATTAACCCTTTTCTTCCATATCTTCATCCTTATTTCAAGGATGAAGACCTTTTTCTATAACTACTAACTAGAGGTTTCAAAACTTAAGTACCAGATTTTTTTAGTGACTGGTGTTTTCCTATGATTCTTATTTCTCAGCTTGTCAGCATAGTATCATTCTTGCTTGTCCAATTTTAATAAGACAATTCTACATTTTGATAATTATATATTTTTAATGAATACTTCCCTCCTACCAAGATTTCATTATATTAAAATATAGTATACCCAAGTTTTATAAGCTGTGTATTTGTCTTGCCAAATTTTAATTTTAGAGTATCTTTAGTCAAGATAATCTAAACGATTGTTTACAAAGTAAGAGACTAAAAGTCATTTTAAAAATAAAATTGAAGACATTTTGATGATAGCAAAATCAGTTACATAATCACTTTCACCTAGACGTGCTTAGTGTACCATAAGGAATAAACCTCAGCATTTTCTCAGAGCCAACCTTGTGGCTTTTACTCCTAGATTTCAACATGTAAGTCCAGTACCTTTAATCAGATTTTGCTCTCTGCTTAAAACATTCCAGGTACTTTTCACAGATGTTTCATTTTTTACTTTGCTCAAGAAATGAAGCATAGAAACGTTAAGTCTGCTTCTTCTGATCTCTTACATATGCTTGACCGAATATTGATATTTCAGTTGTTACTGTTAGCTTTTATGAAAAAGTAACTTCTGGAGAGTAATTCCTTAAGATTCATAATGCTTTTGCGATGGTTCAATTCATATTAAAGATAGGTCCATTATACCTACATAAGGTCTTCAAGTGTTCATAAACCAGGCTATTTAATTTCAATATCCTAACTGCTAATGAGATTAAGGCAAATTGTTTCATGTATATTAAAGTGACTGCAGTGACATTTTAATGGTTCAATACAATTTTGTTGTGGGAAGGAACAGTCAGGATTCACAAGTGCTCAAAATGCTGTCCGTCCAACCTACAACTAAACACATTCTACAGGAAAAGGAAAATACCAACGAGGAAAGAAAACATTTAAGTCCTAAGATTCTTTCCTTCTAGGATGAAAGTACTTTTGCTTTCTTGTACACTACTAGATTTTCTTTAAATATAAAAGCTTTTTTCTGTTATAGCGAAATAGTATGATCAGACATTAAACAGTTTCAGATGTGTTTTCAGTCATACTGTTTCAAAGCTCACTCTCAAGGAAATAAACTACTAATTTTAAGCGTGTATTATTACTTCGACTTCAGAAATCTGTAGAAGGCGACTAGCATAATCTTACAGAACAGGCCATGAACGTTTAATAGTAATCAAAATGTAGATATCGTAAGGTTTTCCTTCTCCATTTTGCAATAATCAAGTAAGATTTATCTCTAAAAAATTTTAAACATGCCTTATTTTCCATAAGTACACTGATTTTAAGCCAGAAACGTAAATATCCCGGGATTTGAAGATTCAGTATCTATATGGGGCTTAATAAATGGTTTCCTTCATTGATAGTAGATGCCTCACTGCGATGAAAGTGACTGGTGGTTGGCTTCTGTATCTAACCTTAAATTCCAAATTTAGACCTGCACAGTTACAGGAGTAGCACCACCCTCAGGTTAAAGTTGAATAGCAACGGGCAGAGCCCTGAATTAAAGATATACTACTTCTTCATTGGGCACTAGAGCTAAACCACAAGATTCAGAATCATTTGGACTAGACAAGTGATGACAGTGTCCTCCTCAAATGCCAAGACTGAGGCACCACCAAGGAGACAATAAAAAGGGGAAATAAAAGGTGTGGATTTGAGGATAAGTTAAGGGCTATTAGTGTTAAAAGCTCAAGGAACCCTCTCCTGTTGACAAAACACACATTACTTAAAAAGAAGGCTAACATTTTCCTTAATAAACAGCAGTTGGTATAAACTCAATCCTTTCAAATCAGGCTTAGTAAAAATCAATTCTCATAAGGTAGTAACACAATATTCTGCACTGATATAAGTGGTCATTGAAATAACTAGAGAATTTAAAAGCTTCAGAAGGATTCAGACAAATGATTTCTCACCCATGAGAGGCAATTATTGCATTTATTATTCAACAGAAAAATTAAGTGATTAATATCATTGTGCTCATTAGTATTTCCTAAGGGAAAAAAACTTTTATCCCACAGTTGTTATTAAAACATAATCTATATTGCAGGATTATATGGAAACACAATAGCAGCACATAAAGTCAGTTATGACTAACAGTTTATGCATAGAGGTGCAAGGTTTTTTCTGCATCACATTTTGTCGTTGTAATGAGCATATCCTTTCCTTAGTGGCTCACTAAAACAAGTTACACTTTGTTTTCACCATTAATTTACTCAGAATTTATTAGTGTACCAAAAGCTTCACTGTTCTTATAGAACTAAATTAGAGATACCATATTGCTCTTTTGGCGTACAACAATTTCAGTTACTCTTTTGAAAAGCACCTTAGTTTTTTTCTCCCAAATTGCTTGTAATTGAGGACTTTAAAATTTTTTCATAATGAAGTCTTTCATAATAATTCTTTTATTACTGCCCTGTGGCCAGGATGAGTTTTTGTAGGTTCAATGTACTCCAGGTTGTATTATTAACAAATACATTGCTATCAACAATCTTTGTAAACTATCAACTTTTTGCTACAATTCAAAAAACTATATGATTGATAACCACATTTATTACTGTGCTATGAAAAAAAAACATATTATTGTTTTCTAAGAAAATCATTTGTATATCTAATTTTCAAAGTGCCCCCAATGCATTTTAAACCACACCAGAATGTGAAGTTACAATAAAACAATTTTAGCAACCCTGGAGGAAATGCTTGGTGCTCTGCCTGTGTCAGGTTTTACAATGTAGTGGCATGTTGTATTGAATTAGCATCTTTATTGTTAAAAAAGAAAATAATCAATTAATTTGCTTTCTCAAATTGTTTTAAAAATTGGGAACAAATAGTCCTTCACCCTGGGTCTCTGTAACCCAGTGTGCACAAAGAGGCAAGCGCACATGCAGTTTCCCCACAGGGTCAACAAATACTTTCCCCCAATAATAGCAAACATCCCTTTATTACAGATACTAGAACTTTATTGCCACATGGGCAAGTCAATCAAGAGGGCTTAGACGACAGCTGGACAAATTTCAGTGTGTTTATTTCTACAGTTTGTTTTTATTAAAAGTTTTATGAAAAAAGGAATTCTATAAATAGTAAAAAGGGGAAAACAGTGCTCCATGGCCTGAAGCAAATGGTGTCAATACATCTGTAAACAAGGTAAAGTTGCTCAGCCTATTCAAAGGACAAAATTTAAATTAGTCACAGATAGCACAACTGTTCATTTCAAGAGTTGGGAGTGAGAAGTGTTTAATCCCAAGTTTTGGTGCCCTAAAATGGCTAGTGGTGGTTAATATTTTATTCTCTAGCCTTGATCATCTGTGCCTTCTAGCTCTTCCTACAGAAAACCACATTAGATGACCCAAGCACTCGCTCTCTCGTTTTAGGGAGAGGGTTGGGATAACACTGCCAGCAACACAGCTGGAACCACCAACTCTCTGGAACATTAGAGTTCCTGAGAGAATATGAAACAGTCATCAACATAATATTTTTCTCTACTTTTAAAGGAAAATATTGAAGGTAAATAGGGGTATGTAATTTAACCGCTGGCTAGGAATGTTTTACATTCAGTTGTTTGGAAGCATAACAGATTCAGCTCTTTTGAATCTTCCGGTTAGAAAATACAGAATTATCCTATAACCTCTTAAAGTACATTAAGAAAAAAAGTCACTTGAGGATAATATAGTGTTTGCATTAAAGGTGAATCTCCAACAAGAAATCTGCTCAACGCACAGATCTGGTGATTCTTGGAGAAGATAAGCTTTTAGTGACCACGTCAGAGAGATATGCAGGTGCTGAATTTCTTAGTAGATGCTGCCTGAGTAAACTAGATGTGACTACTGGGCAAGGAGAGGAAAGAAAATAAATATTGTTCTCTACATGCATAGTTACGTTTTGAGGGTGACCCTCGAACTCTGAAAGAGTGATTTAATTTTCACAAGGAATTAATTAGGCAGGGCAGCTCACTTTCAACAGCTCATCTCTTTAAACCTAGTTTTTACCAATGACTTGACCACTGGGTCATGCGCAGTCAATAAGTTAAAACTACAAGGAGTAAAAGGGTGTAAGGGCATGAGTGGAAAACAAATCCTATTTACCAAAGGGTGGGCATTAAGTTTATTTTGTATGCAATGGGGAACAGAGGAAGAATATTTTCATTATGGCTTTAGGATGGAAGCGCTTCAGATAGCCCCCTGCCCTACTCCTCCCAAATCAAAGCCCTGGTGGCAGTGACTGTACCAGGAAACAACCTAGCTTCCCCGCCCACCCCGCCCCCACAACCGTGCCCGGTGGCTGCGGTCCACTCGCCCGTGCTTCCCAAAGCTGCCGAGGAAGCGGCTACTGCTCATTCCAGTAGATCCAACGCCCAGGATAGGGGGCAGAGACAGAGCCCTTGTGGTGGGTGGCGGGCAGCCAGGCCCAGATATACTAGGGCACGTCTTCGGCCCACCGCTCCCAAGCGCCGGCGGATTCAAGGGAAGACCTTGGGACCTGGATAGGGCTCTCCCTCGCACCAGAAATCATCGGCCTGCGGGGTCTCCAGGAGCCACACCTCTCGGGGCAGGTCACAGGTCGAGCCGGAGGCCTCCTTGGCCCTGACGGGCTCCAGCACCCGGTAATAGTGGCAGTCCCGGCCATTGTCCGGGTCGTAGGGCGGGGCCAGGATGTCCAGAAAGGCTGCTGGCCCGTCCACTGCGTCGATCTGGTGCAGGTTGTCCCGGTGCGGCGTGAGGACGCAGGGACCGCTGGCCTCGGTGTACTCCGCCCGCGAGCGCAGCACGCCCAGCCGCACGGCATCCCGCTCTCGGGGCTGCAGAGGCGGCTCGAACTGCTGCTCTGGTGGCGGGGCCCGCTGCCGCTGCCCGCCGCTCGCCTCCAGCTTGTCCATGCAGCTGATGCGCACAGTGCCGTAGAGCACCTTGAGCATGCCGTGCATGCCCGGGTGGTCATGCAACGGGATGGACGTGCCGCTCTTGAGCAGGAACACGCCCAGGCTGAAGCCGTCCGTCTCGTAGATGTGCATGTAGGTGACGGGGGGCAGGTTGGGCTGCAGTGGCTGCAGCGTGGCCTTGCGCGGGGCGATGTTCAAGTCCTCCGCGCGGACCTGGATCAGCAGGCTCTTCAGCTTGCTCAGGTTCTCCGGGAAGCCCGGCGGCATCGGCGCTTCGGGGCTAGACGCCGCGCCGCGGTCGGAAGCTCTGCGGCCGCCCCCGCCGCCCCGGAAGGTGAGGCAAGCCTGGCGGGCGATCCGTTGGATCAGGGAGGCCATGTTGTCCCGGGGCATGCTCGGCTGTTCCTCCGCGTGCCGGGTCTGGCCCCCTCCTTTCCTCCGCCCCTTGCGGTCCCCGGCGGCCGCCACGGCTGCCCGCAGCCCCGGTCGAGGCGGGAGGCCCCGCAAGCACCGGCCCGTAGGGCGCCCGGCGCTGCTGTCAACGTTAGCAGCCACGCGCCTGCAACGGCCCAGCGCTCTCGCCCCGCGCACGCGCACGACGCACGGCCCACACCTCGCACTCACGCGCCAGGAGCAAGGTAGCGGCCGCGCGGACCGTGCCAGGCTTCGCCTTACGCCCGGCGCCCCATTCATGCGGCCCGCACCTACGACGGTGGCCGGGCGCGCCCGCAGCCCTGCGGAGCATCCTGGGACTTGTAGTCCGGTTTCTGCCTGCTCGCTGAGAGTGCGCTTTGGCGACTGCAAAATGGAGGGATTATTAGACACGTTGGGCATAAAGCGACCTTCTTCAGAGTTCCAAGATATTTTCTTGTCTGAAAAAAGATGAATTGGGGTGGGAAAACCGGCCACTTAACTACAACTCCCAGCATCCCCAGCAGGTTTGGGTGACGCACTTCCGGCAGCTGGCCTGTTGGGGAGAGGGGGCTCTTGGCCTTCACAAGAAACAGGGCAAGAGGGTCGTTAACCTTCTGGCGCCGCTAGAGCATGGTCAGCCATCCGGGGTCGCCTTCCTTTGGTCCTGCCCTTGGGAAGGAGGCTGTTGAGTCAAACTTAGCTCCTCGCGGTCGCCTAGGCAGCAATGTCTACCGCGGGGATTGCTGGGCGGCCCTTTCTTAGTTCTCTAAGTTTCCTAGGAGGTGAGGAGGTCGAGCCGGTCCCTGTTGATCACCACGGTTACTGTGCACAGCCGGGCCCAGCTGTTGTTTGCATTAGGGCCTGATGACGCTGCTCTTCTGGTTACAGAGCACGATAGTTTTTTTGCTGGGAGGACTTGAGAGGCCATTTACTGTGGTCATAGATTCTGAATACTAGTGGTCATCAAACTTCGGTTTGCCTGAGAAGGGGAGGGGGCTTTTATAAATGCAGGTGGATTCACTGGGGAATTTAGAGGCTAGGAAAAACAATCGTGCAAAAATCAGGCTCTTGTGAAGTTAGTTCACAGAGGCATTATTCTCTGTGAAGTAAACTAACTTTTGACAGAAGTAGATGATGACTGGAAAAACAAGACATTAGATACCATGACTTTAAACTTAACCCAGAGTTTAAAGTCTTTTTGGACTCCCAAAGTTAAACATGGGTTTCTTGTACATTTTGTAATCAGCGTGGTTCAGTAATCCTCTCCAGTTAAAATAGGCATACTTTTTTAGTGGGTTACATAACCTAGCTAATGAGTACTCACAATATGCCAGGCACTGTGTTAAGTGCATTATATAATGAACGTTATATTATTTAATCCTCACAGCAACTCTTAAGAGGTAGACACTATTACTATTCTCAGTTTGCAGATGTGAAAATAAGTTGTAGGATAGTGGATAGTAAGCAGTAAGTAATCAGCAAGGCATTAGTAGCAGAGCAGAAATACATGCAGTTTTATCAAAAACAGCATCTTGAATTGGTGTAAAGAGCACCAAATGGGAGTCAGGATATTGTTTTTCCAGCATACTATGCCACTTATATGTTGTGTGTCGTTAAGCAAATTCTACCTTTTAGGTCCTCAATTTATTCATTTGTAGAATGCTGGTTTTAGGGTAACAGTAGTTTTGAACCTCAGTTACTCATCAGAAGCCCTTGCAGAGCTTAAAAAAATAAAGATCTTGGGGTCACACCTCAGAGATTCTGATTCAGATGAACTGGAGTGAAGCCTAGAATTTGTTTTTAAGATGTTCCTCCAAGTGATTCTTGATTATCAGCCCAGTTTGAGAACCACTGCTAGATCTGTTAGTAAAGAAGCAGTCTTAATATAATATTAGATGACTCTTATTAAGGGGGTGATTAATTGCCTTAGAAAAGGATTCTTAAGATTGATGCATTTTCACAGGTTGCCCTGTTATATTATTTAAATGTATTTTCAATATAAAGAAATAAATCTCATGAAATCTTTTCCTAAAGTGAAGAATATTTAAATTAAGGGAAAACCCCCTCTCTTCCTTTATTTAGAGATGGATTTTTATTTATTGGTTTTACTTCTACTAAGGTATAATTTGTGGGAGATATAGATTTCATATAGTGCAGACTTCAGTGACATACCGATCTGTTTCCAAATCTGTCACTTATTAACAGTGTCTGCACTTACGTAACTGAAGCTCAAAATTTTCATCTATAAAATGGGATAATATGATATATGTGTAAATCACTGATGACAGCATCTAGCTCTAGAACATAGTTACTGCCTCTATTATCGTTTTAAAATGGCTGAAAGCTGTACTTAAAGACCAATGAATTTAAATAATACTAAGCAAATTGACTCGTTTGAGAATTGACTCATTTTGAGAATCAGCTTCAGGGTAGAGATGGAGAAAAGATTAATTTTATTGATTAAGCCATCTGCCTGGTGATACTATCCCTTAGGTTCTTGCTATTCATCCTTTGGCCTGAGTTCAAAGTTTCCAAAGAGTGCCTGTATCAGTCTTTGGAATCACCTGGGGGCGTTTGTCAAAAGTGCAGATTCCCAGATCCTGTCAAAACTTACTGCATCTGAAACCTACTGCATCAGAATCTTTTGCACATTAAAATTTTTAAGAACCACTGAGCATCATAGGCCATATGGTACTTTTTTAGGGCACAGAGATGTTACCTCCATGATGCCTTTTGATGCTGCCCTTCAGAGCTGCACTAATGGATGAGATTGACTCTATGGGATTTTGCTCTTAAGAAGCACTTTACTTGGCCTTCTGCCCAATGGTCAGTAGCATAGGCTTAGTGGGTTTCTGTTAGCATTAATGTCCTTCTTTTTTATGTTTTTTATTCTTTAATTCCTCAGTATTGCTGTAAGCAGAATGGAGACCAAAAGAAATTCTGAAAAGGGAACAGATAAGAAAAATGATGATGAACAAGTACTAGGAAAATGCATGGCAGAAACAAGGTTTGAGGAAAGTTTGGGATAGACACAATCTCTCATTTGATAAATAAGGAGTATCACTGAGTACCAGGCATTGTTCTAGACTTTGAGGATTCAGCAAGGAACAAGGAAGACAAGGTTCGGATTCCCAAGGAATTTATCAGCAAGTATGTGTACGTTATTGGGGTGGGAGTGGGGGCTGGGGGAGTGTTACACAGTACAAATAAATGAGCCACATATTAATAATTTCAGACAGAGATAACTTATGAAGACAACGGGATGGTGTGATATTTCTGTGGGTGTGGTATGTTACTTTAAATTGGGTTGTCAGGAGTGACCAGAAGATAACATTTGAGCTGCTCCTGAATATTGAAGAGTTAGTCTTGGGAAAATCTGAGGGCATAGCATTCCAAGACCAGGAAACAGCTTTACGATTGTTAAAGGGTACTGGATACCATGACTTTTACCAGGTAGTAAGGAACTTGGTATAGTTAGGGAAAAATCTAAAGTCCTGAGGGGTTAGACTGCATAGTGAGGTTCAGGGTTCCTCGAGGGAGATGAAGTTGGAGAGGGCCATATTATGTAGGCCCACAGGCCATAGGAGGGGGTTATAGAGAGTTATAAGCTGTGGCAGGGAGTTGGATTTTATTGTAAGTGCGATGCGAAGCCTTTCGAGAGCTTTGAATAGGGAAGTGACTTGATCTGTTTTACATTTTTAAGAGATTGGTGGTGGGATGAGTGTAATAACAGAGAAACCTGGATTGGGGTCAGTGATCTAGAGGAAAGACAAGAGAACTAGTGTAAAGATTAGGAGTCTGTTTTGTAGGTACCCCTGACTATTGCTTCAGCAATCTATTTCAAGTATTATATATTCTCTCCACATTTTCTTTTTTACAAATTGACAGCTCTGTGTTGATAGGTAAGACTGATAAAGCTTAAATCCCACCTCCTGCCCACGTCTATTAAATTTAGGAATGGGGGAAGCACACAGAAGCATGAGTAAAGCTGAGATTTTTTTTTCTTCTTTACAGTTGCTTAATTAACCGGGAAACAAGGAGAACTGGAAGAGCCCCCAGCCTGTATCTATTTAATTTCACCTGCTCATTTACATGATCTCTTCATTCCTGGGAACTAGGTTTGTACTTTTGTCTTTCACCCTTCTTTCCCTCCCTACCTCTCCATCGTATGAGGACTAATTTTCCGTAATTCACAAGATTTGTTACTTTCTGATTTTTCCTCATGTCTTTCTTCAGAATTCATTTTGCCCATCTCTTTTGGTTGCACTTTCCCTCAGTCAAAAGAGTAGAGAAGTATCGACATTCTCAAACGCTCAGAGTTCCTAGCCTACAGGTTTGTTTTGTTTTTAAAGTGGGGAGAAAGGTTTCTTTTCTTTTAAAATTATGATGAGGTTCTATTTATTTATTTTCTGTTATTGAGAGTGCATTTAAAAAAAATTATTGCGCTAAACTCTATAAACTCTATAAATTCTATAAACTCTTTTTAAAGTACAATTTAGTGGTAAGAAATACATTTGTATTCTTTTTTCATCCTTCATCCCCCTCTCCCCACTCCAGAAGGTTTCTTTTGTCCCAATAGTCCTTTGCCAGCATACGCCTATATCTGCTTTTTATGTTAGTGTAGGACATGGTAAATAAATGGATAAAAATTTTTCCTATTTTCAGATTAACATAATTGATTATATTTAATATATTTTGGGTTCATATTAAGGTTTTCCTTTCAGTTTTTAAAAAATGTTAGCATATATTTCTCATCCCTTATCATGAATGAATGTCAAGTTGTAAGAAAAAATAAATATTAATAGTTGCAGAGTCAAAAGAACTGGTGTCATGGCTTTGCCACTAACTAGCTGTGTGTTAATTGAGCAAGTCACTTGACTTCGCTGGATCCCAGTTTCTTCATGGTTGTAGATGATCTGTAAGATTTCTTCCAGATCTCATTAGGCCAACATGGAGAATAGAGACAATTATAAGGACGATTCAGACAAATTCAAACATATATATTTTTTTCTTTCATCTCTTTTAGTTAAAATTATTACACTGTAACCTTCTTAGCTCTGTCCATCTCCACTAAGATCTTATAAAATAACTGCCTACTCTACTCTGGTTAAACTTCATGTGGTTATCTGAAATCATATCACTTTGGTGTATGGACTATTTAGTTAAATATGCTAAGCTCAAGAATTTTTAGTGTTTAGGTGTACACACTGCACTTATAAATTACAGAAGTTAAGTTGTGTGATCCATGCTATAGACCTCATTTTCTAACT